ATGCTACTAAATATGTATATATTATTTCTTTGGTATTTGAATTTTCTCACAACTTCCCAGTTATTGAGGAAAAACATCTGTCTTTAGTCATATGTGAATATACACAAACTAATGCCTGGATGTTAGGATTTTTGCAGCGCTGCAAATTATCAGCAAATAAAAAAAGTAAGCATATAGGTCTCTCAAAGTGTCATGCTGTACTAAATTCTCTCAACAGTGATATAACAAGAGCATTTGCAGAGGAATAAGAATTCTCCAAATAGCAAATTTGCTTAATTCAGAAGTCAACATTAACAGACTAATAATTCACTTTGTGTGTTTGAAAAACAGAGTTTAGTTATAGAAGAATAACCAAACAAATACTCAGAAGAAAAAAGAAAAGAAAGATGCCTTTATTTGCATCTTATTAGACTTGCCTTGGTTTTTTCAAAGTTGGCTTCCTCAGATATTTGCCAAACTTGTTTCACCTGTTCATAAGCACTTGCTTCTCTTTGCTGCGTTTCTGCCAAGCTGCTCCTTACAGAAACTAGTGCAGACATCAAGTCATCTCTTTCTCTGCAGCACAAAAAGAACATTCAAAACAAGAAATGATCAAACGATCATGTCCTCATAAGTCAGGAAGAAAAAAGCATTAGTATGTATTAGAAGAGCCAGGGTAGGTCGGCTGAGCACATATTAAATAAAGCACACCCCAGAGAAAGACCCTCTGTCCTCACTTGGCAAGCGGCAGGCAGAGCAGCCAGAAAGGCTAAGAGCCTTGGTGGCAGCACTGCCTCTGTAGGCGACAATCGTCTATTATGGAGAGGGCTGCAGGGCAAAGCCCAGAAAAGAGCAAATTCGTTTTTAAAAAGTGGGGGGAGGTGCCGAAAAGAAAAAAAAGCCACAAAGTAGGGAAGGTAGGCATTGTATCTCATGGTAGCAGTCAACATTTTAAGAAAGGACTAAGGCTTTGTCCATGCCGCAGATTCTCCTCTCATTTACTTGAACAAATATATGTCCTTTCCTTTCTATCTTTCTCCATAATCCTTTTTCGCCCTTCTCTTTCAATTACATTCTTTCAGTTACTTATGAACACTTGTTGTTCAATGGTTAGTACTGCTGAACTCCTCCAATCCCCTGGTTACGCATATAATATTGACGATTTAACACAATCTTATCCCACTGGGGTTTAGCGTTGCCAAGACCCACCCCTCTCAGCAATTCTCAGAAGTAGTCTATGCTAAGCTGTTAACTGGGGGTAGAAGTGAACCGAATGCCAAAATGCTCTGGCATGTAAAATAGCAAGGATACAATCTCATAGATTAAATAAGTCCCATGTAGAATATTCTAGGATATTTGGAATTTATCTGCTGAATAAAAACATCCACTAGACCAAAGAGAAAGTGAGGCAGGAAATTTTCAAGACACAGAAAGCAAAATATGTATGCTGGACTGTTACATATGCTATTGTCTGTTTTGTTAAAGAGCTGAAGTTTAAACCACAGTTTCAGATTCTGTTGAAATAAATTCCTGCAGTTTTCTTTTCATTGCAAAGTTCTAAACTATGAGAAAAAAAGGCAACTAGGATTTGAAAAAAAAAAATTAGCAAGTTTTAAAGAGTCATAGTTTAGAATATTATGAATTCTGCTTGAATTACTTTCGGAGTTAACCAATGATTCAATTTAAAACATCTCTTAAAGATAAAATGAACTATTTGTGGTATTTGGAAAGCAGCCACATTTGAAGAAATATGTAATACTGAACCAAGTTACAATTATTAGCAGTTTCATAAAAGCTCTTTTGTTTAAGAATAAAATGCTACAAATATAAAATTCATGAAAGAAGACAGATCTTCACTTTAGAATTTCCTGATTTATTTTAAATTGATAAAAATAACTTAATTTTTCTTCCAAGGAAATGAAAAGAAGTAAATTGTTTTGATCAAATATAATCAAACACAATTACTATGTGAAAAAGTGGAAGAATCAAGGCAGGATTAAATTATCCAAGTAAAAAATAAACACCAGCAAAATTGAATGTGTATCTATTTGCATTTCCATAAAAGCTCTATAACATGGCTTTATCAAGAATATGCAATCCACTTAGGACCTATGATTCTAGAAGAAAAGAAAAATTCCCTCTTTAGGGACAGCAAGCCAAGATAGGCATCCTACATTCACCTTTCTTAAATCTCTAGGACCTAATGAAGAGCAAAAGTAACCATTCAATGAGATTCTTATCTGTTCCTGATACCATACAATCACCAAAGCCAAAGTTCCAAATAAGAAGAAAACAAAAAAGGCCAGGCACAGTGGCTCACACCTGTAATCCCAGCACTTTGGGAGGCTGGGGTGGGCAGGTCACTTGAGGTCAGGAGTTCAAGACCAGCCTGACCAACATGCTGAAACCCCATCTCTACTAAAAGTACAACAATTAGCTGGGTGTGGTAATGCACACCTGTGGTCCCAGCTACTTGGGAGGCTGAGGCACAAGAATTGCTTGAACCTGGGAGGCAGAGGTTGCAGTGAGCCGAGATCATGCCACTGCACTCCAGCCTAGGTGACAGAGCAAATGATGAAAAAAGCTCAGTGTTTATAAGTATGCAAACAGACAGATCACAACAGGATAAAAACCTAACAAACTGCTTCTTATGGGAGACTTGTGCTTCATATACTTTATCTCTTTTCAGAATATCCTCTTGTCCAGAGTAGTGTATGTCACAGAGTAGATGCTCAAAAGAATAAACAACAGCAAAACAAATAAATGAATAAAGAGTCTGCTATAGAAGGGTGTCAAAAGAGGTGAAGTAAAGCTCCCTTTCAGTTCTGATATTTTATGATCTAAACTGAAAACGTCATCTAACTATTTTAAATTAGAAACTAGAGTTCAGTTGCTCTGGTTTGAAAGTGTTTTGGAATATTAACTCACCAAATTTAGACTATGGAAACACAGAAAATTATCAGTGATAAAACTCCAATATACAGATGTCTTGTGAAGCCCATCATTCGACAGTGAGACCACAAAACAATTAGACTTGAACTCTGCGTAACCACTGGGCTCACACACTCCACCTTTCTGTAAGGCAAATGCAAGCATGCTTCAAGGTGGCATTCAGCTCACCTGGGAGCCTTCAGGTAGTCATTGTGGCAATTTAGGATTAGCCACTTATCCACTCAGGTGTAACTAAATCTTGGTTTTGGTTTTATTTTGTTTTGACTCAGCCAGTCCATAGACCAAATAGCAAGCACTCCCACAAAAAGTTTTTTTTTTACAAAGAGCCCTGGGCTAGCAGTCCCCTGTCCTGACACAAGGCCTTGCTTCCTACTCCATTCCTATGCTCATCTGGTTTCATCTAGTTTGATCTTTCACTTTTCAGCCCCACACTCCTCCCTTAGGTCTAACACTGCTACTTAATCTGGCTTTCAGAAACAGCTGATTCCAGCCACCCAGGGTACCTGCCCAGTTAGCTACAGTCCTGCTCTAGATCCCGCAGTCCACAGAGCCAACCCAGAGCCACACCTGAATGGGGCTCTCACAATGGGAAGCTGTACAGATACACATGGCACAGCAATGTGAGAGTGAAAGAGCAGTTCTCCAAATTACCATCTTCCATGGCAAAAGCTCTGTGAGTGCCTGGAAACACCATGTGAATGTGCTGATGAATGTAATCAAGGAGCTTCCTGAAGCAAAGCCAGCACACTGTGTTAACCCTGCAACATTCCATGATCCAGATGAAAAAGCAGCTGAGCAGAAAGATGACGTAAAGATCATGAGTGTTCTGGGGTGAAAAGCACATACTTACATGCACTAATGAGCATGTAATATTTAAGAAACTTAGTGCAACAGTCAGGGCCAAAGGACTGAGAAAGTCCCTTAATAAACTCAGCCAAGTGTTTAAGCAAAAGAGTTGGTCTAATGTATATGCATGCGCTTCATCTTGAAATGTGGAATGCCTAAGAAATTGTCTTATAATTTCTAAATTACTCCAGTTGTTATTAATTTTAAGCATTATTAGGCATCACTAATAAGTGTTACTATACTGCTTTCAAAAAGAAAGTCTGGAAGGCTGACTACAACATTTCTTTGTTCCTCATTTCTGGGAAGTTCCTGCTGAAGTCTTTTAAAGCCAACTCTGCAGAGCACTGCCAATGATCCACTCCAAAATCACAAGCTGGACTAAAGCCCCACAATAGTGCCCTTGGAATCATTTCTCTTTTTTGAAAAGTACGGTGAAACTTCTCCAACGTACTATGAGGCACAGAAAGAAATTTAAAGCAGTTCCATCTTGATTACCATGTGAAAGTATTTTGATCATTAAGCAAGAAAAAGGCGCTGTTACTCTTACCTCCCTTATGACATAAAGAGGCCCAATTGAAAAGCCAAAGGTCAGAAATGACATGAAGACTTCAAATCAACTTAGAAAAGATGTCCAATGTCATCAACAGTTGTTAAGCATATTCTCCAAAAAGTCCCGAGTTGTAACAAACCACCAGAAACATATGGGTGGCCTGGTCTCCAAGTCATGCCTGATCTCCTCCTTGTCAACTATACAAGCCATTTTTTCTAAGACGGAGTTTCACTTTTGTTGCCCAGGGTGGAGTGCAGTGGCGTGATCTGGGCTCACTGCAACCTCCACCTCCCTGGTTCCCGCGATTCTCCTGCCTCAGCCTCCCAAGTAGCTGGGATTACAAGCGCACACCACCACATCCAGCTAATTCTGTATTTTTGGTAGAGACAGGGTTTCACCATATTGGTCAGGCTGCTCTCAAACTCCTGACCCCGTGATCCACCCAACTCAGCCTCACAAAGTGCTGAAACGACAGGTGTGAGCCACTGTGCCTGGCCATCAAGCCATGCTTGTGTCATGAATATATGTTCAAAATATTACATGCTAAAGGATATAACAAGGGGGCCGAAAGCTGCTGTCACAATACGACGTTTACCAGGAAACTTCTGATTTATCATATTTAAGGTATCATTTTTGAACTTCCAAGTTATTCAGATAATATAACAGCTTATGGAGGGGTCAGGCTTCTAACTATACATAAAGTTAGAAATCCAAACCTAAAAGGAGGTGGACGCTCTTCAGATTAGCATAGCACTCAATATTCAGCATTCTGCAGTAATAAGTTTAAGAAATGGAACACCAGCTTAGGCCAAGAGAATGATAAAAAAAAAAATTCATTGACAATAAAAGCAGAAACTGTTCAGTGTTAATAGGTTTAATAACCTTTCTGTTATAAATGCAGAACATGAGACAATGATATGCTGACAAGGCAGAAAATTGAACTAAGTAGGTTGACATTTACTTTAAGAGGCTAAGAGTTCAAATTTAGGATAGAGACAAAAGAATACAAAACTGATCAAGAATCTTAATTTCTGAATGACTGCCAGGCTTAGAAGCAACCTAAACATATAGCTTCCTTTAAAAATATTTTTTCATAATCTAGAAGGATAATATGAAAGGCAACATAGTAACCTGTTTTCTGTTGGTTAGGCTTTTTAAAAAGATTTTTTGTAGAGACCGGGTCTCACTATGTTGCCCAGACTGCTCTCAAACTCCTGGCCTCAAGTGATCCTCCTGTATCAGCCTCCCAAAGTGCTGGGATTACAAGCATGAGCCACTGTGTCTGGCTTATAAGTTTTGCTAGACTACCTAGTTTTAAACTCTGACTATGTTTATGTGCAACTTTTAATATGCTTTCTAAAATTAATTTTTAAACTATATTCTCCTTGTAAAATTAGTTACCAATATTGTTAAAGATCTATTTGACACCCTTTCAATTTCATTGCCTTCTTCCACCTCTCTAGTGGTAATCACTGTTAAATATACTCTTTCAAATATTTTTTCTATGCATATCTATGAACCTAGGAGGAGAAAAATGTAGTATGGTTGTATACGGACTTTAAAAATACAAGAGGTTTCATACTAGATGTATCTTTAGCCATTTTGTTTTGTTTTCTTGCAACAATATATTTTGGAGATGGCCCAACATTAATACACATAGAACTACTTCAGTTTTTCATACTATGCACAAAATTTCATAGTTTATCTAAACCATGTTTAGTTACTCTCCTTTGAATGACATTTAGGTTGCTCACATCATTAAAACAATGCTGCAAAAAACATTTCCTATACATGCCCCATTATGCATGTACGTGAGTTTTTTCTTGAAGGTAGATTTTGAAAAGTGAAATGTACAATTTGAATATTAATAAACTGCTAATTTACTTCCAAAGTATTTCTACTAATTTATGAATCCAGCAGAGTATGAAAATACTTGCTTATGACCTCACCAACTCTTGCAATTGTCGATCTTGTTCTATTTTGTCAGTCTGATGGGTTGGTTTTAATATTTTTTATTGTATTTCCTCAAATACTATTAAATACATTCTCATATGCTGACATCTTCCTCTTTTATTGCTCACTAATTTCTATTCTTTACCTACTCCGCAACTAGGCAGCTTGTCTATTTTGTTTCAAAGGAAATTATTTATTCTATTGGTCTTTTGTTATGTATAGTGCAAATATTTTTTCTCCGACTTTTAACTGAATATGCAATGCTTTTTTGTTTGTTTTGTTGAGACAGAGTTTTGCTCTTGTTGCCCAGGCTGGAGTGCAATGGCACAATCTCAGCTCACTGCAACCTCTGCTTTCGGGGTTCAAGTGATTCTCCTGTCTGAGCCTCCTGAGTAGCTCAGATGCAGGGATTACAGATGCAGGCCACCATGCCTGGCTAATTTTTGTATTTTTAGTAGAGATGAGGTTTCATCATATTGGTCAGGCTGGTCTTGAACTCCTGACCGCAGGTGATCTGCCTGCCTCGGGCTCCCAAAGTGCTGGGATTACAGGGGTGAGCCACCGTGTCTGGCCTGTAATGTTTTATTGTAAGGGAATTTATTTTTTTAATAGAAACAAATGTATCTTTTTTTCCTGTATGACTTCCACTTTTCATGTCATCCTTTGGACTATAACCCACAACCATAAGATATTTTTAATATTTACTTCTAATGCTTTTATAGTCTGAATTATATCTGAACTTTTAAACTGCCATGAATTTATTTTTGTAAGGTATAGTTCTGTTCTTTTTTTTTTTTTCAAATATAAACAGGCAAATTTTTAACTTCACTGAACCTCAATTTCCCTAACTATAAAATTGGGGTAATAATCTTCCTCATGAATATTTTATTAAGATTTTTAAAAATTATGTTCTTAAATTGCCTAGCACAGTCCTTGACATATAATAAATGTTGGCTGGGCGTGGTGGCTCGTGCCTGTAATCCTAGCACTTTGGGAGGCCGAGGTGGGTGGATCACCTTCGGTCAGGAGTTCGGGACCAGTCTGGCCAATATGGTGAAACCCCATCTTAAAATAAAATGAAATAAGAAATGTTCACTACATGTGTTAGTTGTGTCTGAAAATAGTCTGTATTTGTTTATTTATTGATTTAGAGATAGTGTCTTGCTCTGTTGCCCAGGCTGGAGTGCAATGGTGTGATATTGGCTTACTGCAACCTCTGCCTCCCTGTTTCAAGCAATTCTCTGCCTCAGCCTCCTGAGTAGCTGGGATTACAGGTGCCCACCACCACACCTAGGTAATTTTTGTATTTTTAATAGAGATGGGGTTTCACCATCTTGGCGAGGCTGGTCTTGAATTCCTGACTTCGTGATCTGCCCACCTTGGCCTCCCAAAGTTCTGGGATTACAGGTGTGAGCCACCACACCTGGCCTTAATATATATTTAATAGTTATATTGAATATATATGAATAAATTAACAACATATTTAATAATTAAAATACTTAACAAAAACAGAACCAAGCAGTATAGATCATAAAAACTACCAGTCAGTCCACACTGGAAATTCTATGTTCATATAACAATCAGTAGGTTAGGTAGGTATGGTGGCTTATGCCTATAATCCCAATACTTTGGGAGGCTGAAGTGGGAGGATCACTTGAAGCCAGGAGTTCAAGACCAGCCTGGGCAACACAGTGAGACACTTATCACTACCAAAAAAATTTTTAGTTAGCTGGGTGTGGTGGCACATACCTGCAGTTCATCAGGAGGCTGAGGCAGGAGGATCACTTGAGCCCAGAACTTCGAAGTTGCAGTGAGCTATGATTGTGCCATTACATTCCAGCCTTGGCAACAGAGTGAGACTCCAACTCAAAAACAACAACAACAAACTACTCCCCATGCCCCACTGGCCCCCCGCCACCAACAGTAGGTTAGTCATGTGTGGACACCACAGCTACAAGACATATTGATCATTCTTGGGAGAATGGAAGGTACAGAATGGTTTTCATATTTATTTATTAAGCATTTACTATATGTCAGGAAGTGTTTTAAGCACCACATAGGTTTTCTCTAGTGACCCCTCAAGGTAACTCTATGAGTTTTAAACTACTGATATCACTAGTTTAAAAATGAGACAACTGAAGCACAAAAAGGTTAGGTAACTTCTGCAAGATTCCGTGGTAAGTTAGCAGTAGAATCAGAATGAACCCAAGCAGTCAGCTTCAAAAGCAGTTCTCCTTGTCACAGGCTAACCTGTCTCAGTAAAATTCCCAAAAGATCTTAAATCTCAAGAAGCAGGTATTATTACTCCAAACAACAGAAGACTCCAGGATCAGAGAAGAAAAGTCATTTGTTGAAGGTCAGGAATGGAGAAAAATTGGTCTGACCTTAATGACCACAGTCATGTCACTCCTCCACACCAATTCCAACTGGAGGATCACTGACTGTGGAGCAGTAAATGCCAGAATGCCTTGTCACATGAACAGCAAACATTTACTGGGTGCCTACAACCAGCCAGACAATCTGTTAGGAACAAGGGCTACGGAAATAAACAAAACACAATTGCTGCCTCCAGGTGTACACGATATATTATAAAATCACAGAAGAAAGGAACCTAAGGCAATTAAGGACAAAATGGGGTAGGGCTGGTGAGTGACTTCTAAAAGGAAGTGATTTGGGGTTATTTAAGTTAGCAGAGCAGACAGAGAGAGGTGGGCACAGGGAAAAGTAGGGGCATGGAAGGACATACACTATAAACTACCACTGGATTCTACATTACATAATAATTCTCAATTTCAACTGAATAAAATTTTCACAGGAAAAGGCTTCCTCTGGAATAGTGAAAATAGAACAAAAATAGATGTACACAGAGAATTGTTTCACTTCAGCCTAGATGGAAATGCTGACAACACAAAAGGTCATCTGTAATGTGTTCTTAGTTAACCCTCAAATAGCAATACTGGGATACAGTGGGTCCTTATAATACTCCTTACAACAGACACATGATGAAGATGTGGTAATAACTCATTCTACCTGAAGTACAGCAGAAAAATCCAAGACACGGCAAAACCAAAGAATTTCTATTACATCTAGTTTTGTTAAGAATAGTATTGACTTGTAATTATAGAGTCATAGAACTGGACAGAATTGTAAAGACTGTCTAGTTCAATTCTCTCACTTGAAGATGGACTGAAACCAAGAGATACTATTATTTGTTCAAAGTGACATGGTTTCCCATAGTTGGCAGCACCTACCCATTTGTCTTCAAGGGAGTCCTTTTAAAATTCATTGTATTTGAAGACAAACAATAATCACATGTGACTTAGCATGGGGTGAAAAGAACACAATGCCCCTTTAAAGACATAATTTTCCATATCGCCAAAGACTCCATGCGTAGAAGCATACTTACTTAATCAGTCTTTCAATGGTCTGCATGTGAACATTATTATGGGTTTGGGAAAGAACAGCTTCATGCTGAGCACATTTCAAACAAAGACCCCCAACACGGTTAGAAGTATTAGCAGCCAGAAGAAACTCTTTATGCTTTAGTTGCTCTTTAAGATCTTCACAGGTTTTCTGATATTCAGCTAAGTCTTTCCTAAAAAGAGGGGGGAAAAAATTCCAGAAAATGACCAGGTAAAATGACATGATTTTAAAATGAATTATCACAATGTTAACTACTGCTGTCATTTATGGGCGTTCACATTCTGCTTTAGTTTACACACAATGTCTTATTTTTACCACAATCGTGAAACTTTGGTGGGGTGATCCTGATTGACATGTTGAGCATGATGAGACTTGAATATATTGAATAATTAGCTCAGGTTCTTGTAAGATTTTAATATAGATTAGAGTCTGCCTGATACTGGCTCTCTAGTCACAGGGTCCCATCTCCATTAATGCTATATTAACCACAAAACAAAAATAAAACTCCAAACTTAAATCCCAAATAGTTTTTCTTAATAAAGGGGTAGGCTAATGTAACAACACAACATACTTGGGGTGAGGAAAATACCTTATTTCAAGTATTAACCTCTTAAAATTTTTAGAGTACCTTAAAAGTTCACATAAAAAAAACATGGATTTTCTGCTGGGTGTGGTGGCTCACGCCTGTAATTCCAGCACTTTGGGAGGCCGGGGCGGGTAGAACACGAGATCAGAAGTTCAAGACCAACCTGGCCATGATGGTGAAACCCCATCTCTACTAAAAATACAAAAAAAATTAGGTGGGCATGGTGGTGGATGCCTGTAATCTCAGCTACTCAGGAGGGTGAGACAGAAAATTGCATGAACCGGGAGGCAGAGGTTGCAGTAAGCCGAGATTGCCCCACTGCACTCCAGCCTGGGTGATAGAGCAAGACTCTGTCTCAACAACAACAAAACCAGGGATTTTTATCCATCACTAGTTTGTTACTGCCCATTTTTCTTCAGAAGGAAAACATTACAAATTATGTAATAACAAAATTCTACAAAAAGCTGTTTCAAAACAAAGTAAGCAACAGAAGGAAGTTACCCAGAACTAGCCAGTCATAAGACTTCACAGGTAGTAGCTATTAGCCAGAAACATGCGGGCTACTAAAGAAAGGGCTGCAGAATGCTGGGGTGGGGGATGGGTGAGTGTGTGTGTGGGTGTGGGTGTGATGTTTGTTGGTTTTTACTTTATCAGCTCACATCTGGAGGAAGTTTTTCTCCAAAGTGACTTTCTAAGGATTAAATGACTGATGCATGGGTTGTATTTTCCTACCTTATCCCAGTAAAGCTGTGGTAAAGTCAGCTTGGTAACTGAGCTTCCCTGCCTAGATGTCTCTTTTGTTCTCTCTCTCTCTCTTTCTCTCTCTCTCTCTCTCTCTCTCTCTCTCTCTCTCTCTCTCTCTATATATATATATATATATATATATATTTTTTTTTTTTTTTTTTTTTTTTGCGACAAGGTCTCACTCTGTTGCCAGGCTGGAGTGCAGTGGCATCATCTCAGCTCACTGCAACCTCTGCCTCTGGTTCAAGTGATTCTCCTGCCTCAGCCTCCCAAGTGGCTGGGACTACAGGCACGCACCACCACGTCCAGCTAATTTTTGTATTTTTAGTAGAGACGGGGTTCACCACGTTGACAAAGATGGTCTCGATCTCTTGACCTCATGATCTTCCTGCATTGACCTCCCCAAGTGCTATGATTACAGGCGTGAACCACTGTGCCCGGCCTATATTTAAAAAAAAAAAAAAAAAAAAAAACAACTTTCTAGCTGAATCAGGAGACTACGGAAGGCAGGTACTTGACCTCCACCTCAGCCCACTCCCTGTTGTCGTTGTCAGCGTCTGTGCTCAGGGGTTATGGCCATCTTAGCTGGCTCCCTGTCACACAGGAGAAGCCAACAGCCTGGCTATCAGACAACTGTTGAGATTTTGGGGGCTTTCAAGCAACCCAGGAGAGGCAGAAAAGGCCCACAGGCAATCTAAGGATTAAAAAAAAAAAAAGCTAATTTAATGGCATTCCAAAGTTGAGAGGGAAAAAAGGAGCTGCTTCTACCCTATCCCCAAAATAATAACAAACTTGAGAAGTTTTCTTTTTCAGTATCATGTAGAGAATGTCTGACTTTCAAAAGCTTTATAGAAAGAACTTGGGATGCACATTCTGAAGTCAAAGGGTCCCCATTACTAACTTCGGTCGGCTCCAAACTCAAAACACTCAAGTAGATTTGGTTACTAGAAATGGCAAAACAGAAAGTTAAAAAGAAGACTGATTGTATTTCTTTAAGAAATGCTTCTTTAAATAATCTTAAATTATAGCAAAAGAAAATGAAGAAACAGAAGGATGAAGAGAACAAAGTCTAGTTCATTGCAAGTTGGTATTTAATATAATTAAAGATGAAATATCTGGACTCTGAATGAGACAAAATACATCACATTCCCATAAGTACAGTGATCTAGGAATACATTATTCAAAAACTGAAGAATCAAGTCATAAAAAATAAAATAAAGTAGGACAAAAAGCATGAAAGCAAAAATTAGAGTTTTAAAATGTTACGTTTCTTTATGAAAAAGTAAAAATCTCTGGAGATATCCTAAAACTAATCAGGGTCATCTATGAAAAACATAAGAACATTTAAAAAACAAATAAGCATATACAGTTAAAGTGATGAGCTCTGGCTGCTATTATTATTATTATTATTATTATTATTATTATTATTTGAGATGGAGTCTCCCTCTGTCACCCAGCCTGCAGTGCAGTGGAGTGATCTTGGCTCACTGCAACCTCCCCCTCCTGGGTTCAGGCGATTCTGCCTTAGCCTCCTGAGCAGCTGGGACTAAAGGTACGTGTCACCACACTTAGATAATTGTTGTATTTTTAGTAGAGACAGGGTTTCACCATGTTGGCCAGGTTGGTCTTGAACTCTTGACCTCAAATGATATGCCTGCCTTGGCTTCCCAAAGTGTTGGGATTACAGGCGTGAGCCACTGCATCTTGCTGAGTTCTGGCTCTTAGTATTACCCTAGTTACATCTCTAGGTAGGATACGGCCTGTAAGATTTTAAAATTAATTTTAAATTGGACTTTTTAAAATAAAATTATACACAGTATTTGAAAGTTTATTTGATTTATAAATACTTCATTACCACTATTTAAAAAAATCTTTAACAACAAAAATATTAATTCCTGTTGTCTTTTTCTACTCATTATGCATAAACCACTAACGATTAATCTGTACTATATAGGTCTTACTGGGATCTCTAATAAATAGATTCTATAAAAACTACATGAAGATTCATCATATATACTCAAATTCATCATACAAATACTCAAACTATTATATTATCATTGTAATTTTAAAATTAGATGAGGCTGGGTGCGGTGGCTCATGCCTGTAATCCCAGCACTCTGGGAGGCCAAAGCAGGCGGATTACGAAGTCAAAAGATTGAGACCATCTTGGCCAACACGGTGAAACCCTGTCTCTACTAAAATACAAAAAATTAGCTGGGCATTGTGGCACGCACCTGTAGTCCCAGCTATTCAGGAGGCTGACGCAGGGGAATCACTTTAACCCAGGAGGTGGGGGTTGCAGTAAGCCAAGTTTGCGCCACTGCACTCCAGCCTAGTGACAGA